CGTAATCATTGAGTCAAAGGTACTGCGAAAGTTTATAGTCCTCCAGCACAAGGGACTTGTGTTACTTAAGCCCGTAGCTCCTTTTGACACGATGATCTGGTGTTACTTGGGCCCGTAGCCCGATTTAACATTATGGCACTTGTTACTTAGGCCCGTAGCCCGATTTAACATTATGGCACTTGTTACTTAGGCCCGTAGCCCGATTTAACATTCTAGTGCTCCCAAGAAAGGACCGTATCCTTTTATACTTAGTGCTGCGAAAGTTTAGAGTCCTCCAGCATGAGGGACTTTTGCACTTGGTACTGCGAAAGTTTAGAGTCCTCCAGTACAAGGGACTTTTCAAAGAAAAAAAGACATCAAACAAAGTTTATACTGATACATCAAAACAAGGCTATTCATTCATGCTTAGCAAATACTTTCATCAAAACAAGCAAAGCAAGACTTTTTAAAATAGTGTAACATAGCTTTATTAAAAGCACCACTCACCTACCCCAACTCCCTAGGAAGTCCAATCCAGTACAAGGGACTTTTCAAAGAAAAAAAGACATCAAACAAAGTTTATACTGATACATCAAAACAAGGCTATTCATTCATGCTTAGCAAATACTTTCATCAAAACAAGCAAAACAAGACTTTTCAAAATAGTGTAACATAGCTTTATTAAAAGCACCACTCATCTAGTTCTTCAGGTGTAGGCTCAAAGCAAGGATCAAGGTCCTACAATCACATGACAAATCACATTCTCAAAACAAGCCTTATATGCAAGTTAGAATGATCTTGGCATTCTATTCTCACTAAATCCAGGTCAAATCAAGCAGAACATGCTGGGAGTTTAAACACTGCTCCCGCCTCATGAAAACACACTGGGTACCAACCAAGTCCTTGCCGAGGTCCCACACATCCTTGCCGAGGTGTGGTCCCGCTGGCCTTATTCAAAAGTAAGGTCGGGGAAACCTGGCTTCCCCTTTTGAAGCACATAAAGAACAGGATGAATATGGTCATGAGGAATATGAATGCAAGTTCAAAACTCGTTACAAAGATCTGAGGTTTCATGCCATAAGTTCAAAACATGGACCTGGTACCCATACAAGAAGATCATGCAAGAACAAACACAAAAACATGATTTCGGTTTCAAACTTTTGGATCAAAACGAGACTTTCTCCAAGAACATATGAACACTATCTTTTTCTTTCGAAACCAACTTCAAATCGATGCATGACATGCAAAACAGATCCGATCATGTAATGCAGCTAGATGATTAATATCAACAATCAAAGTAGATCAAGGTTCTTACCTCAAAACTCGGATCCAACGGATCAAACCACGAAGATCAAGCTTGGAAGGTCTATTCTCACTCAAGAACTTCTCTTCCTCCACTCTAGAGCTTCTCTCTCTAAAAACAAAGATTTGAGACCAAAAAAATGACTTGTTTCTAAGTCTGCCGGCTGTCTTAACAATCAGTTCGGACACGTGGCGCTATCGGGTTGGCTCAACTCAAAAAGGTGATTGATAGATAAGACAAGTCTCTAACAAAGCGTATGCAGCAAGCTGGGTAAGGCACACCGGCAAATAATGACATCGGCTCAAATCAAGGATCCAGTAACAGGGTAACAAAGACATCGGCTAGGGAGGACGACACTTGACTAAGCTGTGCCACACCTTGGCCGGGGTGTGCCACATCTCGGCCTAGGCCATACCTGCCTGCAGACAAGGTTCGCTAAGTGCAAAACATCTCGGCAATAATGCCCGAGGTGAAGATAGGGGTCGACCAAGGTCTCAAAACAGTTCCAAGTACAAAGGTTCAGAGGCGACTAAGCTCAAGGTGACCTCGGCCACACACACACCGAACAAGGAACAAAATCACGCAAGCAATACTTCAACAAAACAAGGCAAGGTAAAACCTTTAAGTTAACATAACAAGGCATGATCATGCATGAATGTATGCAAGTATGACAAGAGTAAGGTGAGGGTTGCTACAATATATACATGTGAAAAATGACGAAAACATGCATGTACCTAACCTAATTTCAGAGATACGTGTTGGATTACTGATTCAAAACTAGACTAGCCATGATAGTGACATCAAAATGTGCACAATCAAAGCAACAATTCATCATAAATTATTAAAAAAACAAAGAAAGTCATATTTCCGTAAGTGTGTTCTTTAGCTCAACTCATAAGCAAAGGTGAATTTGCAAGTTGCAAGTGATCAAATGAGGAGTTTAATGTTTTGTTGACCTGTCAAGCATTTCACAAAAGTCACATGTTGTAGTTTTAGTCATCCATTAAAGCCAATTTTGTAGACCCATTTTTTTGATTTAATAATGTGTAAATGATATGATTAGTTGATAATTAAAAAAAATATAAGAGAGTGTTACCTTTAATATTATAATTAATTGTCATATTATTAAACTTGAAAAGAGAATTTAATTTTTGATCTTGAATAATAATATTTTAATTTTAATGTTATTATTTAGAAGAATCCCATATCTTTTTTGTGTGTTACACTAAGTAATTTTTTTTAGTGTTATATTGAAGAGTTATGTTTAAAAAAGTACACTAACGAATTTTTTTTGGGTATTACATTAGAGTGTTATACTAACAAGTTTTTTTTAAGTGTTATATTAGAGTGTTACGTTTGGAAAAAATATACTAAGAATTTTTTTTGGAGTATTATATTTTAGTGTTACATTGGTGTATTACAGTTTGAAATTATATATTTGCCCAAAACTTACTAAGGAGTTTTTGTACTCATTTTAAAATATTTGAAAAATCTCACATCGTCTTAGAATGTTTGAAGAATTCCATATTTTAAGTCATTTTTGTACTCCTTCTGAAATGTTTCTCAAATAAAAAAGATTCTCATATTAAAATTCATCTCAAATTTGATTCTCATACATTGTGTACTTTACCTTTCTAGCACAAGAAAAAAAAAAGAAAAGGAAACATAATAAAAATAAGGGTATAACCGAAAATCTAATTTTTAAATAACATATTAAATATAAATTTTCAAAATCAATGAGATTAATTGGTCCATAAAAAAATCTTTGGGACTAAATGGATCACTATTTCTCAATATGGGATTTATAAGTAAATTTTCCTATTTTTTATCCCCTCAACTATTGTTTTATATTAATCTTTCCAATTGAATTAAAAATTACAACATTAACTTATTTTATATATTATGTTGTCATTTGGCAATTGACTTTTTTAGTTGCCTTTTTATTTTTTATTTTTTATTTTTTTGATGTTTTGGTTATTTTAGTTCAAGCTAAAAAGTTTGTTTGAGCTCGTTTTTTTTTACTTTTGTGAGAAAAAAAGTGAAATAATTGTAATTTAGATGTGACATTTTATTTTATTAATTTTTAATTTATTTTATTTTTTGTAACTAATTTAACCAATAAAACCTATTGCCAAACAAAACTTAATTGTTTTTTAATTTTTGACTTTAATAACGAAAATGTGCTTTCAACTACAGGGGTTTAGTCTGTTTTAACTATCACTATATCTACCCTATTATTTGGTCAAACCATATAAATTTGGTTTCTTTTAATGGTAATTTTGTTCGGGCTCTATTTTTTGTTTTTGTCCTTTATTTATTTTTGGATAAATTATATCGATAGTCCATGTATTTTGTCCTTTATGTTATTTTGGTCTTTGGCATTTAAGTTAGCTCAATTTTGACCATTAATCTTAGATACTGTATCAATTTAATCCAATTAATAATATTAATTAGAATTTTTGAAAGAAAATAGTTACCAAATTAGTTGAAGATAACTTGCTAAGCTTAAGAACTTACAATTTTGTTAATAAAATAATAATTACATGTGGTTTATGAGTGAATTTTTCATTAAAAAAAATTAAAAAATTATAATCAATAAAATAAATTAAGATAAACTTATAAATTTAAAATAAAAATTAAACTAATTAAAATTAAAAGGACCAAATTAATAAGTAACCAATCTGTCCAGGTGTAACTAGGAACGGTAGCTTGCATCAAATTACCAGGCATAAAAGCGAGACGGTTGTAAGCTTTTTCTGTGTGTTTTTGGGTAAATAAGTTTTTTCTGTGTTGTTTTTTTTTTTTTTTTTTGTATCGCACACTGATTTATTTATTTATTTTATTGCATCAGTAATTAAGGCAATAATATGAGAGCACAGTTTTGTAGGACTCTCATATTATTAATTTTTTGATCGGGGCTCTCATATTATTATTATTTTTTTTTTGAACTTTGGACTCTCTTATTATTAGTAATCACAATTTGTTCTCTCATATTATTGGTACTATGATTTGTGATAAATTTGATAAATTGAATAATTTATAATTAAATTATTTTTTTTGAATGATATATATGAAAGTTTATTCGAATTATTAAAAATAAAACTTTTGATGAATCGCACAAACCTGAATCATACTAGCATGCAGTAAACTTCCAAATACAAGGGGGCGCCAGAGAGCTTCTCTCTAGCGATTTTCAATGTCCCTCCAACATCTACAATAGCCTCCTCTTCAAAGTAATATATACAAGGGGCAAATGAAGGGGTTTAGTTTAAAAACGGCAAAAAAAGGTGGCAATTTGAAATTCTTTTCTAAATTTTTATGGTAAAAACAATTTTTTTTTAAAAAATTTCGAGGAGAGGCATTTGCCTCTTAGGTCTAGTGTAGATCTGTCACTGATCACTGATCACTGGAGAAGCTATAATTCTAATAGAATAGACATAGAAAGTAAAATCATAGTTCATTCTAATTGAAATCTTAAGAACATATAATATTTAAACACATAAAAACCATAGTAGAAATCACAAACACTCACATGATAACACATTTAATATTCAAGTTTATGAGTAAACTTAATAACCATTACACTTATTCTGAAAACATATTCATTCTCACTCAGATTAATATAAACATAGAAACTGTCTACATATGCAGATGCAAAATATTTTGTTGAAATGAAATAGTGGATGATAGGGTGGTGGCCTAAGAAAACAACATCAGATCAGTGTCGGGACGGGGGCGAAGTAATAATCATAATAAGGGCAATGACAATCTGTATGAGAGTGAGGAGGAGGAGAAAACCAGCTTCAAAAGTGGCAACAGTGACCCATATATTTGTGAAGTAATCACGCTTCAATGAAGCTACCAATCTATTCCACCATCTCTTGCAATGAGCATTCACTTTTCTGCGCTGTTCAGCATAGTAGAACTGCTCCGAAACGAACACCCCTGTACCCAGGCTGTTGAACATAAGTGCTACCTTTTCGTCGTCACCAAGCCAGTGGTCAAGAACTTCATGGCGACGAAGTTGGCTCACGTCTTCTTTGGAGTTGATAAGCTGATCCATGAAAGACGTATAATCGGTGAAATATTTGGTTCGTCATCCAAGGAATGTTGTTCATAGGCAATAATGTTGTGGAAGAATATTTCTGTCGAATCAGAGACTTTAAACTTTGGTATTTTAAAATGACCATGTTCGAAGTGTATGTCGAACATGCTTTGGTTACGCTCCTCTCTGGCCTCGAACTTGACACCAGCGTCCTTAAGCTCTATCACACACGGCATATTAAAGCAAGTTCTCTGATTCTTGTTTTGGTGGTCATTTAACTCATCTCTAGAGCAGGAGGGAAGACAAACATTATGCACCAAGTCAAGAAAATGCTTGCCTTCAGAGACGGACGTATTTTCAAAATCGATTTTGGAAAAGTCAATCCCTCCTGGTAGCTTCTCAAGTATAGGTAACATTGCCATCTTCGTGAGGGTGGGGGTGGAGGTGGGATCATGATGAATCTGGTTTGGATTTCGGGTCACTATCATGCCGTAGCTCATGTCATAAAATTCAGATATAACAAAGAATGGAAGTTGGTTTTCAAGTAACATCAAGTCATTGCCAATCTGTATTCTCTTCCATGACACTTTGACTTCATCACCCACATGTGATTGTTGATGTTTATCCTCAACAACACAAAACTCAAACATAGCAAGAAGAAACTCAATAACGAAGCAATCATCATATAGCATCATTTTCACAAATTGATGACTGTCGAGGTGGTCAAATAAGTCTGCATAATACTTGCGAGCTCTTTCTTCTAACTTGTTCATGAAATCTAAATAATCATCCTTACTCTGATTGTTGTTACGTTGAAGGAGCGATTCCAACTAACGTTCTTTATGTTTTTGCATAGCAAGTAGTTTGGATTGACCATGGTGATAAGGCCCTATTGAAACTAGCTTAGGTGTGTATGCCTTTTCATTTGCATGACTCAATCCTTCATGCACCCTAAAGATACAAGCTGCTTCATCGGCCAAAGCTTCTCTTTCTTCATTGCTGATGGTATGTCGTTCCATATTATTATCTATTACATTTGAAGGAAAACGTGATATCACTGACTTAAAACATTTATTTTTTATGCATAGGTAGAAGCAAACATTTTGTTTCACTATAGTGATTTCCGTACGTGATACAATTGTATGCAAAAAAATTGGAGGATTTCAGTCACTGTTTTGGACTGGACAGGATTGTTTTGGCTAATAAAGATCACTATGAGTCTCATTTTGATAATTTAAAATGTTCATTTTGTCGAGTAATACATTTATTTCATCCATAAAAAAATTAAGTTGATCTAACAACTGTAACTAGTTTAATTTATCTTATTTGTCATCAAAAAAGCTGTATGTGTTTTTTTTTTTTGTTAAAAATGAGATAAATTAAACTAGTTACAGTTTTCGAATCGACTTAATTTTTTGTGTGAATGAAATATATGAAATTACTCATCAAAATGAACGATTTAGATTATTAAAACGAAACACGTAGTGGACCCCCATAAGCTGAAACAACCCGTCCAGTCCAAAACAGTGACCAGAGGGAATTTTCCTCCAAAATTTAAACCATGCATACATTTATATTTATTAATTAGAAGTATTTTTTTTAAAAAAAGAAATCTATTTTTATCACTAATAATTAATATGAAAATATCATTATCACATATTTTGTATAAGTGCTTTTTATAAAAAGAGAATGGCTCCGTTTGGTAGAGCTGTGGAAAAGTGATTATAAATTATAGCTTAACAGATTATGGCTTATAGTTGTGAACATAAACTGTTAATCTGTTTGGTGCAGCTGTGGGATTATGGATTTAAGCAGTAGAGTAGTGTTTGGTTAATAAGCTATAAAATAGCTTTTTACTGTATAATTGTCCTTTCTGCCCTTATATGATATAAAAATGATTATTTTGTCATTTTTTTCAGTTTTAATTTTAAAAAATTTATTTCATTAATAAAAGTTAATATAATTAGTATTAATTAGTATCAATTAATACAAAAATTGATACATTTGATAAAAATATAATGGAAGTATTATTGTCAAAAAAAAAATTCCATTATAAATTAACAGCTTATAAAATTAGTATCAATTAATACTAAAATCATTAATTAGTATCAATTAATGGATTAATTAGTCTCAATTAATACTAAAATTATTAATTAGTATAAATTAATATTAATAATTAATTTTTATTAGTATCAATTAATATTAATAATCAACAATTGTTATTAATTAGTATTAATTAATAATTAATTCATCACAAAAGTATACAATATTAATTTATTAGTAATTAATACCAATTAATATTTATTTTTTTAATTAATATTGATTTTTTATTTTTCTTCAAAAATATACAATTTTTTATTTTTTAATTAATATAAAAATATACAATATGAATTTATTAATAATTAATACCAATTAATATTTATTTTTTAATTAATATTGATTTTTTTTTATTTTCCTTCAGAAATATACAATTTTTTATTTTTTAATTAATAGAAAAATATACAATATGAATTTATTAATAATTAATACCAATTAATATTGATTTTTTAATTAATATTGATTCTTTTTCTTTTTCTTCAGAAATATACATTTTTTTATTTTTTACTTAATATAAAAATATTAAATATGAATTTATTAATAATTAATACCAATTAATATTTATTTCTCAATTAATATTGATTTTTTCTTTTTCTTCAGAAATATACAATTTTTTCTTTTTTAATTAATATTAATATTAAAATTTGGGTATTGACGAGGGCATTTAAGTAATTTTAGCCCCCCCCACACCAACTGCGCGCTTACGTCGAAAATTTAAGCACCCCCTGACCAGCTTTTGAGATAAGCTGAGAAATAGCTTAATTTAAACTATAAGCTAGTTAACTTATGCTGCACCAAGCACAACATTTTAGCTTAAATTAAGCTAAAAGCTGAAATAAGCAGCTTATAACCTCTACCAAACAGGCCTTATGTATTTTAGCATTTGTCACATAATGAAAAAGATAATAAAGAAGAAATGTTTTGTGCTTCCAATCCCAAACATACCAAGAAGAAACTCAATAACAAAGCAAGCATCATATAGCATCATTTTCACAAATTGATGACTGTCGAGGTGGTCAAATAAGTCTGCATAATACTTGCGAGCTCTTTCTTCTAACTTGTTCATGAAATCTAAATAATCATCCTTACTCTGATTGTTGTTACGTTGAAGGAGCGATTCCAACTAACGTTCTTTATGTTTTTGCATAGCAAGTAGTTTGGATTGACCATGGTGATAAGGCCCTATTGAAACTAGCTTAGGTGTGTATGCCTTTTCATTTGCATGACGCAATCCTTCATGCACCCTAAAGATACAAGCTGCTTCATCGGCCAAAGCTTCTCTTTCCTCATTGCTGATGGTATGTTGTTCCATATTATTATTTATTACATTTGAAGGAAAACGTGATATCACTGACTTAAAATATTTATTTTTTATGCATAGGTAGAAGCAAACATTTTGTTTCACTATAGTGATTTCCGCACGTGATACAAATGTATGCAAAAAATTTGGAGGATTCCAGTCACTGTTTTGGACAGGACAGGATTGTTTTGGCTAATGAAGATCACTATAAGTCTCATTTTGATAATTTAAAATGTTCATTTTGTTGAGTATTTCCTGTATTTCATCCATAAAAAAAATTAAGTTGATCTAACCACTGTAACTAGTTTAATTTCTCTTATTTGTCATCAAAAAAGCTGTATTTGTTTTTTCTTTTTTTTGTTTAAAATGAGATAAATTACACTAGTTACAGTTTTCGAATCGACTTAATTTTTTGTGTGAATGAAATATATGAAATTACTCATCAAAATGAACAATTTAGATTATTAAAACGAAACACGTAGTGGACCCCCATAAGCTGAAACAACCCATCCAGTCCAAAACAGTGACCAGAGGGAATTTTCCTCCAAAATTTAAACCATGCATACATTTATATTTATTAATTAGCAGTATTTTTTTTTTATAAAAAAAATCTATTTTTATCACTAATAATTAATATGAAAATATCATTATCACATATTTTGTATAAGTGCTTTTTATAAAAAGAGAATGGCTCCGTTTGGTACAGCTGTGGAAAAGTGATTATAAATTATAGCTTAACAGATTATGGCTTATAGTTGTGAACATAAACTGTTAATCTGTTTGGTGCAGTTATGGGATTATGGATTTAAGCAGTAGAGTAGTGTTTGGTTAATAAGCTACAAAATAGCTTTTTACTGTATAATTGTCCTTTCTGCCCTTATATGATATAAAAATGATTATTTTGTCATTTTTTTCAGTTTCAATTTTAAAAAAATTATTTCATGAATAAAAGTTAATATAATTAGCATTAATTAATATCAATTAATATAAAAATTGATATATTTGATAAAAATGCAATGGAAGCATTATTGTTACAATTTTTTCCCATTATAAATTAATTAGTGTCAATTAATTGCTTAATTAGTATCAATTAATACTAAAATTATTAATTAGTCTCAATTAATACTAAAATTATAGCGATCCCGGGTTTACCCTTGTTGTACAGTGATCCGGACATGTGTCCGTGGATGTTAGTAGTTGTTTATTATCTTGTTTGCATCCTTTCTACTTTGTTTATTGAGTTATAGGATGTGTTGGGCAGGTTTGTTACAAGTTGGTTGTGTTTGGGAGCCTAGTGTTGCTGCTTATTTTTTAATTAATATTGATTTTTTTTCTTTTTCTTCAGAAATATACAATTTTCTACTTTTTAATTAATAAAAAAATATACAATATGAATTTATTAATAATTAATACCAATTAATATTTATTTTTTAATTAATATTGATTTTTTTTCTTTTTCTTCAGAAATATACAATTTTCTACTTTTTAATTAATAAAAAAATATACAATATGAATTTATTAATAATTAATACCAATTAATATTTATTTTTTAATTGATATTGATTTTTTTTCTTCGGAAATATACAATTTTTTCTTTTTTAATTAATATTAATTTTAAAACTTGGGTATTGACGAGGGCATTTGAGTAATTTTAGCCCCCCACACCAACGGCGCGCTTAAGTCAAAAATTTAAGCACCCCCTGACCAGCTTTTGAGATAAGCTGAGAAATAGCTTAATTTAAACTATAAGCTGGTTAACTTATGCTGCACCAAGCACAACATTTTAGCTTAAATTAAGCTAAAAGCTGAAATAAGCAGCATATAACCTCTACCAAACAAGCCTTATGTATTTTAGCATTTGTCACATAATGAAAAAGATAATAAAGTAGAAATGTTTTATGCTTCCAATCCCAAACATACCAAGAAGAAACTCAATAACAAAGCAAGCATCATATAGCATCATTTTCACAAATTGATGACTGTCGAGGTGGTCAAATGAGTCTGCATAATACTTGCGACCTCTTTCTTCTAACTTGTCCATGGAATCTAAATAATCATCCTTACTCTGATTGCTATTACGTTGAAGGAGCGATTCCAAATAACGTTCTTTACGTTTTTGCATAGCAAGTAGTTTGGGTTGACCATGGTGATAAGGCCCTATTGAAACTAGCTTAGGTGTGTATGCCTTTTCATTTGCATGACGCAATCCTTCATGCACCCTAAAGATACAAGCTGCTTCATTGGCCAAAGCTTCTCTTTCTTCATTGCTGATGGTATGTTGTTCCATATTATTATCTATTACATTTGAAGGAAAACGTAATATCACTGACTTAAAACATTTATTTTTTATGCATAGGTAAAAGCAAACATTTTGTTTCACTATAGTGATTTCCGTACGTGATACAAATGTATGCAAAAAATTTGGAGGATTTCAGTCACTGTTTTGGACTGGACAGGATTGTTTTGGCTAATGAAGATCACTATGAGTCTCACTTTGATAATTTAAAATGTTCATTTTGTCGAGTATTTCATGTATTTCATCCATAAAAAAAATTAAGTTGATCTAACAACTGTAACTAGTTTAATTTATCTTATTTGTCATCAAAAAAGCTGTAAGTTTTTTTTTTCTGTTAAAAATGAGATAAATTAAACTAGTTACAATTTTCGAATCGACTTAATTTTTTGTGTGAATGAAATATATGAAATTACTCATCAAAATGAACGATTTAGATTATTAAAACGAAATACGTAGTGGACCCCCATAAGCTGAAACAACCCGTCCAGTCCAAAACAGTGACCAGAGGGAATTTTTCTCCAAAATTTAAACCATGCATACATTTATATTTATCAATTAGAATTATTTTTTAAAAAAAAAAAAAATCTATTTTTATCACTAATAATTAATATGAAAATATCATTATCACATATTTTGTATAAGTGCTTTTTATAAAAAGAGTATGGCTCCGTTTGGTAGAGCTGTGGAAAAGTGATTATAAATTATAGCTTAACAGATTATGGCTTATAGTTTTGAACATAAGCTGTTAATCTGTTTTGTGCAGCTGTGGGATTATGGATTTAAGCAGTAGAGTAGTGTTTGGTTAATAAGCTATAAAATAGTTTTTTACTGTATAATTGTCCTTTCTGCCCTTATATGACATAAAAATGATTATTTTGTCATTTTTTTCAGTTTCAATTTTAAAAAAATTATATCATGAATAAAAGTTAATATAATTAGTATTAATTAATATCAATTAATATAAAAATTGAAACATTTCATTACAACAATTGTTATCTCATTTAATAGATGTTATTTCATTTTTTTTATTATTTCATTTTTTTTCATTAATATCAATTAGCAACAATTGTTTTTTTAATTACAATACGAAAGAATTTTATATGGATAAGAGGTCACTGCTGTGCGTGAAGCACAGCAGTGACTGTAGTGCCTCCATTTGAGGTGTATTATGGCCTTATTTTTATGATCCAAACCGTCCATTTTGTAGGGTTTGTTGAGTACTTCATGGCTACCAAAAATCATATTAATCGGATATCAACAACTATATGATCGACAACCAAAAAAATAAATAATAAGTTTTATTTTGAGAAATAACATAAATAATATGCAATTCGATCATATAGTTTTTGATATCCGATTAATATGATTTTTGGTAGGCATGAAGTACTCAACAAACCCTACAAAATGAA